GTGTCATTCTCAAAACTTTAGGCCCAGGGTGTAGAGTTAGTTGTGCAATTAGGCTCAGTCACTCTACAAGCACAGCAACTTCTCAGCACCGGGCGTATCCCTCATCCCTATGTAGCCCTGCTCATACCCAACACACCCAATCCTCCTCCCGCTTTGGCTGTTTTGTTTGCAATGTTTACTTGGAAAGCCTCTATACTGCTGTAATGTTCTGTGGATGACAGCACTTTTGTGAAAGGATCTAGCCTGATTGTTGGCTTTTTAGAAATTAAAGGCAACAGATATGCTCATATTCAGGTTCCTACTTTTACTTTTTGGGTTTCTTCTATTTATTTAGCTCTTTATTTTTCTCATACTCCGTCTGAGTATACCTGGATTCGCCCTTTGACCGAAACGCTCTGATGTAACGTGTTTCACTTGAAAGCGTTGCTCGGCAACAGCTTGGGTCCATGTTTACTTCCTGTCATCATGTGTTTTACATACACTGCATGTCGTGGAAATACAGAGAAAAAACAACAACTTGGAAAGTGCGAAAGAGGAAAAGGTGGCATCGTGCTGCTCTTGGCTGATTCAAATAGTCCTTTGTCATTTTGCACAGCCATAGAGAAGTCCTCACATAACACGTCACAGTTCACAGATATTTGAAGCTCCTTTTTGAACAACTCTGGTCGCAGGCGTGCTTGCAGGTGTTATGTGAGCTGGGCAAGTAGCTTTCAGAAACGCTCCCCAGCCAAGATGACTTTTGAGACTTTGGCGGCCGGATGGAATAGACACTCTCTGCTCCTTTGATTGGTCACTTTCAACAGCAACAGTCTCTTGTGATACACACTTTAGCTGTGTGTGGCACTCTTGTACTTTTCTGTGTTAGGATGCAGAGTGAGGTCGCTCTCCCCTCACCTCCAAGGCCTCTAGACAGCATGAAGTACAAAAGGCTTTCGTCGAGTCACCGTTGACGGCTTTACCCATGTCTGTTTTGCTGCTGTAGCTCCACAATCTTTTCTTTTTTGCACCGAACCGATCGAACACCAGACTCTATACCGTGTCAGGAGCATTACGCATTACGCTATACTCAACTGATCTCACCCGTGACATGATCGGCACGTGATCTGTTACTGCTGTTGTATCAGATCTAGGATCTGTAAGAGTCCAGTGCTGATCAGCGTAGAGTTGCAGTCAATATGGGACAAGGAGGTCCCATATAAGACAAACTACAGGACTTCCTAGCTGCCCGCATTCTTTTAATTCAAACTAAACCTTATGCACATGGCCTCAGATTTTTTTGGACATGTATAGGCACAGAAGGGCCTCTGCTTTTCGGACATCATTGATAATGCAGTTTAGATGTATGGGAACATTATTTTGAAGGAGACGACGGCTCAATCCCAAAGGGCCTTAAACCCTGAACCCTCAGGGACTTTACTGAATTCCCCTGGTATATGCAAGAGTTTGAGAGGCTGCAAGGGCTTGAAATTGTATAAATATAAATTGGAAAGCACTATGTGGCGCCATATCATGTTATCACGGTGATGCCAAAACATGTTATGTACAACTGTGGGGTTTTGTTTTTTGTTTTTTACTGCCTGATTTGAACATCTTCCAGGCTCTTGACTTTGGAGACGAGAGGTAAATGTCAATTAAAATCAATTTTAAGTCGTTTTTGTCAAAACAGCTTCAATAGGCAAAATGTTATGAATAATACAGCCTATGCTTGCAATCCCCTGCTTTCATGTGCTTTTTATTTCCCCATCTTTAATCCTTTATAATGTTGCTGTGTAAATATTTTATGCCAGGATGACTACCCGTGCGCCGTCCCCTTTGTGTATGTTTTTGTTTGAAACGCCTCTTGGCTTCCCCTGGCAACCCCGTGTTTAATGTCACAAAGCGATGGCTTATGGGTAATTCCCTGCAGAAATACAGACTTCCAAAACGTTTGCATTAAGGGCTCAAAATGTTTGCGAGAGAGCCCTCAAACACTTGATCTGACTATAGAAAAGCGATCCATGACCGTGACCTGCACCCATCATGTCAGTGAGTCTCAGTTTGAAATTGTCCTGAGGAGGAATTTCCTCTCCACCTTTCAACATGCTGCGACACACCCGGGACACAGAGGCAGAGCAGTTGACAGCGATCAATCATTCATGTGATAAAAGAGGAGCGCTCCGCACCAGTGAGCGAGAGCAAACCGTGCTGGCGAACAGGTGGGGAAAGAGGGCTGCTATATGCAGGGGAGATAATGAGGTAATGGGGATCAGGTGTGCTTGGATAACACACTGGGGAACACACTGAGGGCAACAATAGGGCAGAAGGGGAACAGCAGGTATCTGAAATGACTGACAATGGCTATTGTGCCAATTTACTTTAGGTTAAAACAAAGCATTCTACAATGATGACAGGCTCTGTCACCTCCTGGAAGGAATTCAGCACCAGAGTTTGTCACTCTCTGGCTCAATGGCCCAATCCCAATCTCCACCCTTACGACCTCACGGACTTTGAGGCGCGCTCCCGCGAAGTCTATGAGGGTTTAGGGTTGTCCCACTGTCAAATCATCGAGTGTTTGAGGCTCTCTGGCAGACAGTTTGAGCCCTTTATGAACCCTTTCCCTAAGTCAGCATAGGATGCTGACTTTGCCTAAGGGAATTACCCACAAATCATTGCAATGTGACGTTAAACACGGGGTAACCAGTGGACGCATGGAGCAGTATAAAAAAGGTAAACAAAGGGGACGGCTCACGTGTGTTCAGCCTGGAGTATTACATTTACACAGAAACAAGATGGAACAAAAAATAAACATGAAATCAGAGGATATTTATTCATCAAATATTTGATTTTGTCATTGAATCTGTTTTGACAAAAAAACAGTAAATAGATTATATAAAATGACCTCATCTTGTGTGGAAAGAGCCTGGAAGATGTTCATATCAGGGAGTACAAAGTATAAAATAAATACCCACAATTATACATCACATTCTTTGTCTGTTTTCATGGTAATGTGATATATTGCAGCAAAGTGCCGTCCCATTCGTATTTACACCATTTCAAGCGCTCACAGTCTCTCACACTCTCTCACTTGCCAGGTGACGTCAGTAAGTCCCTGAGGGTTCAGGGTTTGAGGCTTTAGGGGGGACATTGGGATTGGGCCCTCAAGGTCTTATGGTTCATTCAGTTCTTTGGGTCAGCATAGAGTAACCACTGTAAGGCTCCCAGCTCTGGCTTCTTTGACTTCACCAGAGTAGATTCAGCATGTCGGGAAGTAAACCACAAAGAAGAGCTCATCGTAGATGTTTAAAATAAACTCAATACATAATTTCATCTCCTGCCTCTTCCAATACAATCATTCTTCAAATGACTGATGAATCAAGCTGACACTTATATGAAATACTGTCACAAAAATATCAACCATAAGGGAAAAATGCACGCGTCTATAGTGTACATAAAGCCTATAGGCTACCTCCACCACCAAAGGTCAATAGGGGGATATAGGCTGATTAAACAACACATGTATTATTTATTTTATTGTGACATATTGATACAACAATAATGCATATATTCACTGCAGCACTACATTAAATGAACAAGAAAATGATTAGATTGAAATGAACACGTTGCCTTTTACATGACTTCTGTTGCAGACGTGTGATTGAAACATAGAGGTGTTGTTTGTGCGAGTGCTTTGGCGCAACTCTTGAATGGACGCTTTTATGTCTGTGAGCCACCAGATGTCCCTGTTCCTGCTGAGAATGAAGCCCTGAAGCTTTAAATCATTTTCAGCACAAATAGAAAGAAAGCCTCAAAGATGCATACGGTTTCATCCGCTCATCATTAAATGGAGGAAATGTACTGGGTCGGGCTCCCAAAGTGCAGATTTGTGCAAAAAAAACTCAAAACGTTGGGGAAAAAATAGTCAATATACTGAAAAACAACAGCTGTGCAATTACTTCCATGTGAATCTGCTTCTCTGTAACCCAAATGAGACTTGACTCCTCCACCCTTGAGGCTCACCCATTAGGCTAATTGATCACATTCTCTCATCACCAGACGCTATAACTATTCCTCAAATAAACAAATATTATACAAATAAAGTGTATATTTTTTAAGACATCTTTCCTAATATATGTTTTTTATTCACGTGACCATTACCTCATCTGAATGCGCCCTGGTTACGATGGTATTTAAGTATTTAAATAATTTGTGAGTACTGTGTTATACCGACCGTGGCGCATGAGGTAGAGTGTCGTCCACGGTTCGATCCTTGGCTGCCACGTGCCCCACCGGGCGCTACTCCCTGGATAGGGATGGGTTAAATGCAGAGAATACATTTCCCCACGGCGGGACTAATAAGGGATTTACTTATTTATTATTACATCATAATAATAACAAATTAAATATATCTAATATGGATAAATACCAAAGTGATATTTATTGGTAACATTGAAGTCATCATCCTTGTGATTCTGTCACGTGGTCTGTCTCAGCTGAGCTCCCTATCTCCAGATGTTATATTTTTGTGGATAAACTAAATGATTGAATGCTATTTTCTTTTGGTTGAATAACTTCTACTTGTTAAATAAAATTAATTAAACATGTAAACCCCAACATTATTTCGAAAAAGTCGAGAAAACGTCAGTGCGCTCATGAGACGCTCATGTTTTGGGCAGGACAGTGACGTAATATCCTCATATCTGAGGATCCCAGGACCTTTTATAGCCTGTGCTATCCTCACAGAGCGCATTTTCTTTATTAAGGCCAGAAGTTTCGTATTGAGTGTGAGACTCAGTGAATGTTGGAGCTGTGCCTCTGCTGCTTCTCGTCCAATCAACAGCGCCGTCTGGGGGGCGAGGATGCGAGTAAAGTTGCTGCCTGTAAATCCCTCCCATGTCTCTCTGACACTCTTCTTTTTTTGGGGGTTAGATTACTATTTGTTTAAAACGAGTTGGACTGCAGCGAGTCACACAGACGACACGTTAGCTTTCCATAACAATGAGCTGTGTGTGTCAGATTTCAATACGGGCTGCTTAAAGCCTCAGACCAATATGTTGAAAGTGAGGTTTCGGTCACTGCTGTTGGACTACGATGGTTAAAGGGCAGCTGTTGTTCCAGTTTACTTTTAGCCACATAACTGGATAACTATTTAACTTGTGTTTCTTTAGTAGCCTACACGGTGGAGTTATTAATATAGGGATTTTATTTTCCCTTTTTTATCGTCTCTGTCAAATTATCACGTTCTAGAGCGGGGGACGATAAGGAGGACCTGGAGCTGCTGGTATATGCATTTTGAATCTTCTCACTCATATTATTGTCAAAAATCTACTTCCCTTTTATACTCATTTATATTGATATGATCTTTTTTTTAAATGTTTTTTTGCGAATGTTTTTTAATGCGAAAAGGCTCTCAGAAATTCTTCGTGCTTTCAAATATACATTCTCTTGAAGAATGACGATTCATTACATCAAATATAGGTCAACATACATGTGCGCATGGTTTACTCCTCCCTTGTGTCTCTAACCTCTTTTTATGTGCAGGTGGGACAATGGTTAATTGTAACGACTTTATAAATCCCTGGACTTTAATAGCTCACTTACTCATGTTCAAAACCTTTTGCACGTCCTAAAATATTTCGCAAATATGTATCATAGGTGTTGAGAGTAAAGTCGTAATATTTCAAGAATAAATCGATCTGCCCAAATAACAAAACTGACACAATAGCCTAACAGAAACCCCTTCTGATGGGACACTCGCACAAATGTTTAATTCACCTCTCAAACCCTACATTGTTTGACTGTATGTATGATTTCATCGTATATTTTACTGTGAGTCATTTGCAGTTAACGCGACTGGAGACGCCGCGGTGCGCCACACGCATCATTTCTTTTCTCCAGTCACCTCACGGATAACTCTCTTACTGATGCTGCCAGTTTCAAGCGGTTTCACGTCATTCAGATGGAGAGAGTTGGTGCGCTTTTTACGAAATAATTACCGACGTCCGTGATCGCGGTGACCTCACAACTGGCTTCCGCCATGATGATCTAGAAGCGCATTCCTCCCCACCAGTCTACAAGCTGTTCTGCTGCTCTGCTCCTCTCTGTGTGTTTGGTCACTGCGAAGATCGTGCGGCAGAGTTTGCTCAAATATTGGTAGAGACGCCAAACCTTCTATCGGAGAACTTTGTCTTGGAGTCTGACTTTGTTCTCAGTATAATTGGAGTAGAAGCGGATTCATTATCTGATGTAGGACAAAACTAAAACATTAATACAAGTTTTTATTTGATAAATACTCAATAATGCATATGGTGAGATTTCTTTTGTAATGATTGGCAGCTGAGTTTATATAAATGGAGTTTAGGGATTGAGCTCTCCACACCCAAACTGCCTTATTTGCTTTTGATGATTATATGTTTAAACACCAATGCGTCAGTTTATGAGTTTCCTTCATGTATGAAGTGGTGAAAAAGACATTCAGATCATTTATTTAACTAAAATGATCAACACCAGAAACTGAAAATACTCCACTTCGAGTAAAAGTCCTGCATTTATAATATAAGAACAACAGTTGAGCTCATATATGGAAGGTATTGTGCACTTTATGAAAGAAGCAAGACAGTTTCACCAGTGTTAGTGCATATGATGAGGTTTATTTTCAGATGTGGAGGCATTTCTGATTGGACCTCTGAAGACGGAGAGGGGTCATTGACTTCGAGCAATGTTGAGTTCCAGTTTCTGGCGACTGTGACGAGGATAAGCTGATGTTATAATGTTATAATTCATATTCATGTTGAGAGAGAGAGGGGGAACGCACACCAGTGTTGGAGAGGTGCTGACCACGGTGAAGTTACAAATGTAAAGGAAAAAATAGTCGCACACTCGTAGACACGATGCAAAATATATATTTAATAATTGACCAACGTTTCGACATGACCGTCTTCTTCAGGGTAAAGAGGGACACAAACAGCTCCACGTAGGGATAGGACACAGGTGTGTTCAAGGAGGGGCGTGTCAACAATCAAACACATTGTGAGAGAAGCATATAACTGCTGCACACTTCAGCTATTTAAAAAAATCACTTACAAGAAATGGTTAGATCAAGAAACACATGGTTGTACGTGGATCAAGGAAATCTATCAAAAACCGACAAGTTAAGAGTAAACTGCAGCTTACAACGACACAGAACATAAGGAGAGATATCTACATATACATTTCAGGAAAAACCAGAATACCTCAGGCTCCAAGTAGGTTCCTTACCTTAGGTTCCTTTTAGAAAGAGCAAATATGTAGAAAAAGTTAAGGACCCAGATGGAGGGAAGACGCCTATCAATGTACTTTTAGACATGAACTCTATGCAAGGTTAGATAACAGGCAGGTAACTGACATGGCACGGGCATGTACAATGTCCTTTGTGTCCGGTGTGTGTACACGTGCATACAATTGTCTTATGTGCAAATCTGCACTTGCGCTTTCTGGTTAAAAGTAGTGACTGTCAAATAGTCAATGACTGAAACAGTCAATATAATATGTTGTCGAGAAAATATATTTTTATGTTCATTTCTTTTTTGTAAACATTCCATACACAAAATATCACACACATATTCACAATATTTATGTTTCAAGTTCATTTGAATCCCATTGTACAATCACAGGGACATAAAATAATATATTGAAAAACAAAAACACCAGCACATCAAATTCTTCCACACATGCAGTGTTGTTGTGTGAATGTTCAATCCACAGAAATCCCGGAAAAACACACTTTTTTTTAACCCCACAATATTTAATTTTCTATTATTTCAATCATTTACATATTATTAAAGGTCAAATTCAAAATGCCTCCACATCTGAAAATAATCTTTATGGTCTGAAGATGCACTGGTAGAAATGTTATGCTTCTTTCACAAAATGCAGAATTTTTAAAAAGTTTGTTTATCCGCTGCACTATTATCAGCAAAAGGTACTTAAAGTTTAAAAAGTAAAAGTACCCATAATGCTGCCATTTTGTTGTTTTACTAATATATATTGGATTAATGTGTTATTATTACTGATGCATTCATGTTTGATTTGCAATTTACTTTTGTAGTTGGTCGAAGCGAGGCTGATTTGAACTGTCTATTTGTTTTACATTGTTTTCTTTCACCAAGAGCATCAAACAGAGGATTGTCTGCTTCATGCTTCATATACAGTAGATGAGCTTGTCACCGCTTTGACAGACGTAACGTTAGAGCAAGGCGACACAAAGCGTACGGTAGTAAGAGCTCCCAGCAGCAACACTCAGGGTCTGCCCGACCGATCTTCAGACTAGACAAAAACAGGGAAAATAAGCTTCTTCTCAATTTACTACAGCCGAACGCTCAGAAAAAGTTGCTGGAGTAGAAAGTACAATATTTCCTGTTAAAGTGAAGTAGAAGTATAAAGTAGCATAATATGGAAGCACTAAGTATCACAAATTGATTAATCCTACTTAGTTACATTCCACCACTGACTACTTTCTCTTGTGTATTTCACCACATGCCTTGTCTACAGATTGGAGCAGCTTTCCCATTCAGCGTCACACATCCAAGATGAAGTTAAAAGGGAGCGTTCTCATTTTCCTGCTGGGTGTGATGGGCATCGGACTGTTTTGGAGAGCAGACATCTCACCATACTTCACACTTCTGGCTAAAAGGCCCTGTGTTTGTGACCGATGTTTATCTGAAGGTGATTCGTTGTTTGATCAGCGTTTCAGCAAATTTGATGAACCATTTTTGTCAGTAAACTACAATCTCTCAGAGGACAATTTCAACTGGTGGAAGGTAAGTTGTGACCTTGCAAAATAACAGTCTCAATCTGCAGTTCAAATCAGGATCAGAAAGTGAAATACAATCACTTTCAACAGTCGCCATCACTGTATTAGCTAAACTTCAGTTCTCAGTCTGGTCTTAGTTCGACCACTTCTCTCAATGTGAGCAGTAGAAAGATGTCTGACTCGTATCCATACGCCGACTTCTTTATCCAGTGGTAAACTATGTTACAGACTATCAACAGGACTCTTCCTGGGTTCCCCTCATCAGAGTCAAATCCCTTGTTTACATGTAATTAAATCAAATAAATGAATCATATTTTGATTCCGATCAATCCTCCAGCAGATTCCACTGAGCAATTACAATACTCATTGTCGTGTTACCTTTTAATAAAACAATTGTTTTCTAGGTTACACATTCTGGACATGTGCAGTGAGCAATTTTATAATATCCAATTAACTATCAACCAGTAAGATCTTTAACAGCTGTGTCTGCAACAACCAAAACTGTATCGGCCCTTTTCACAGCAGTCATTTTGACATGGCGTAGCACAATAAACACAGGGTTTTTTTGACCAAATTATTATTCTATTTAGTATGTCACGGCCATTCCACGAGGTGGTCCAGGGCCCCAGCCACCAATGAGCTATAAAAGCTCAAAAACATACAGCGATGTATGAAGGCCAGAACTAGGCGACTCACACCAAAACAATCTAGATTGATAGACAGCACTACAGGTAAGAGGAAAAATATGTATTTCAGATGTTGGGGTGTACTGTCCCTTTTTAAATAACTACAACTTATTAATACAAAAGTAAGGTTTGGGGATGCACACACCTGTGTTGTACTTTATAGTCCCTACTGGCTTAGTAGTAGCGATTGAGGAGTCAGCAGGCAGCCTTGTGGAGCTCCAGTACCACTGACCACCGTTTCAGACAGCACACTGCCCAGTCAGACAAACTGTGGTCTGCCTGTCAGGTAGTCAGTGATCCATGAGACGGTGGACATGTCTACCCCCACCACCCTTCACCTGCGGTGGCCAAGACCAGCCTCTCCAGCACCTTCATGACATGAGTAGTCGTGGAGGCCAGATGAAGTCGTCTTCTTAGGAACAGAAACCAGGCAAGACGTCTTCCACAGCACCGGGACTTCTTGCTGCAGGCTCAGGTTGAAGAGGTGTTGCAGGACATCAGACAGCGGGATGGCGCAGGTCTTCAAGACCCTGGGGCTGGAGCCTTGCCCTGGTGGAGTCTCTCTAGCTGTCTACTAACCTGGCCAATGGGGGGTGTCAGTGGTGGAAGAGCCCTTTGATGTGGAGGGCTCTGTGCCCATGCAGCTCACCAGAGGGGACAGGGGGGGATGATTTATACGTTATAAAAGTAATGAATTAGAAAAAACAACATTCATCTCTGTCAAGTTATTTTACCAAAACATGTGCAGTTTCCCTACTTGAGAAGCATCGATCAGTCTACCCGAAGGATTTTACTCAACAACTTTTCCTTTTCCTCCTTTTTATTTTGAGGTTCAGCATATTAGTTCATTCAGTCACTAAGCCATTTAAGCCTTTGAAGCCATTTGAATCTTTTTAGGTGAAAAACTGGCTGCCTCTCAGGACTTGTAGACTCATCAGTCCTGCAGAGTCTTATCGCGGATCTCGATACCATGCGATCTCTGTCAGTGCGGTGTTCGTCAGATTACGGACCTTGTTTACTGCGACACTGTGTCACTGCATGTCTAGTGTTCCAGGCAGAGTGGTTCCGCCCTGTCTCTTTTCAGAATAGTCAGATTGTGTATATTGATTATTTTACGAATTGCTTTACTTATTATTTTATTTACAATTATCTTTAAATCTTTTTAAGTCGTTTATATTGCTTCTGTTTACATACAAGAAAAATGCTGTTTGACTTGACAATCATTATGGTGACTGCGACTGACAATTTGTTTATTTGGTACAATTCATGCGGTCTAACTGTAAGTAATGTTTGGTGTTCCTGACAGGACATACAAGGTCGAGGGCAAATCTTGAGTGTATACAGAGAAAAAGTGGAAAGGCTTTTTCAGTTGGTCCCAGCCAGTGCTCATGTTGAAGCATCCAGCCCTGACCGCTGCAGGACTTGTGCTGTGGTGGGGAATTCTGGTAATTTGATGAAATCACACTACGGACCTCTAATAGATTTCCAGGACTTTGTCATAAGGTAAAAGAGTCTAGACAAACATTAACGTCAAAATTCACACCTTAATTTTCCTGACAACTACAGTGACATATGAAATATATTTGTACTATTTAGAATTAACAGAGGTCGTACCAAAGGCTATGAAGCAGATGTTGGGAACAGAACAACTCATCGTGTCATGTATCCAGAGAGTGCTGTGGATATAGATAACACCACTATTCCTGTGCTGTTTCCATTTAAGTTAACGGATTTTGACTGGTTTATGAAGGCCCTCAGCACAGGACCTTCTGGAAGGTGAGTCATGTTTTTCATTTCAGTTCAAGTCGAGTTGCTACGGTCGGTCCTCTGAAGCTGGCGTTCAATCCTGGTGAAGTCACCCATCGGTAGGGAGTGAGGTGGAAGGAACGCAGGGTGAAATTTAAACAAAGCACTAGAACAACTATACTGTTCTTAAACTAGTTAACCCTCTCGTTGGGCTGTATCCTATTACGTTGTTAGGTTGCAGAGCAGGACTGTGCTGGCAAAGGTAATACTAGTCAATCAAGTTTGATCGTTCCTATTCTGATCCGAGGTAAATTGAGTAATATCAGTCTGGAGCTGCTGTGGAGGCTTTGCATAGGATTTGGACTTCCTCTCTAAATGAGGACACCAACTACAAACATGGCAGCAGAATCATTTCAATGAATGCTACTACCCTAGCATATCCCTCTGCATTCCCACCACCACATTTGTGGTAATAAGTGTGAAATTCTACTTCAGCAGAGTATTCTCCCTGAAGGGCTGTACTTACAGGATTAAAGGCACCACAAGTGTCTGTGACAACTGACCGTCAGTTGCTAAAACAACTTGCGCCTCTTAACATTCATGCAAGAAAATTCTTGCAGCATCATTTCCATAAAATTCAAACACTGACCAGTGGTGGTGTTTCCTTCATGCAAGGCAAACAAGCAGTTTCATTGCATGAATGCCTGGTATATCATTTTACTGACAAAAAAAGTAATCATTTGATGTTGAGTTTAACATTTCATGCTTTATTTCAACATGTGCCAAGGAAATCTAAGTTCAACAAGGATTTGGTGAGTATTATTTTTGAATGTATTCATCAATAAACTTTATTGGCTCCAAAGGTAATGGGTCATATAATATATTTAAATACTAAGTCTGATTTCATAACAGGTGATGCTCCTTAACCCAGCGTTCATGAGGTACGTTCATGTCATGTGGCTGCAAAAGAAGGGCCATTATCCATCCACTGGCTTCATGACTGTGGTTCTTGCCCTGCATCTTTGTGACGAGGTAGGTTTATTTTTTAATTGAGTGAATGTCGTGACACACTGATGATTGACAAGTTGATGCTCATAACGGTGAAGAAAAAAGCATGTAATCTTGTGTCATTTAGCAACGCTTTTACCACATTATCTGCTCCTAAAATTGCTTGCCTTTGTTTGTCCAGGTCCATGTGTTTGGTTTTGGAGCAGACAGTGATGGAAACTGGAGTCATTACTGGGAACAACTCAGGGACAAAAAGTTAAAAACTGGAGGACATCCTGGAGGTGAAGAGTATAAAATGATCGTGGAGCTATCGAAGCATCAAATACTCACGTTTTACACGGGCTGGTGATCTTTCTCTCAGCATTTAACGTATTCAAGCCTTGATAGTGAATCACTTAGAAAGCAAAACAAGACTAAGAAGCCTTCAAGAAACATCTCTTTTCAGACTAACTCCCCTGCTGCACACGTTAAAGATTAAAAATGTGAGTGATAAATCATCCATGATCTAATGGAGAGGGAACTAACACTACATGTATAGTTACTGATCCTTTCACATCTTTTCACTGTGTTATAATGTTTTAACGAAAAATGGTCTTTGGAAGGTTTTTCGAAGTAAAAATACATGAAGCTAGTTTTTCCAAGGTTTAAACAAACAATTATCTTTGTGTTTTTACATGAAATATCAAGGTTTAATTCACGAGATGTCAATTTTGAAGTAGTGATGATCGCTTGCCTGTGTTACTGATATAGCCACCCGTAGAAGTGTCTTCATGATTGTGACAAAAATATTCTAACAACTGAAGTAAACTAAAACACGTTGGGGTAATGGTGAAGTATACTTTATTAAATGTATTTAACTGATGTAATAACTGACATTTGTGTCTTTTCTTTGTTTGTGTACTTTACTGTATTCTACTTGTAATGTGTTACTAAATACATTTTACCGTTAAAGGGACAGTTCACCCCAAAATCAAAAATACACGTAAAACTGTGTTTCATGGCAGATAGTTGTTTGGGAAGGACATGTTAAAGAATGTATTTTTTCTTTGTATGATTTGTTTATTTGAGAAATATTTGAATGAGAGAATATGATAGATTGGCGTGATGGAAGGGGCCTCAGATTTTAAAAGAGCCTCAGTCTCATTCAAGCAGAGAAAACGTTACATTATGTGAGTAAAGAATCTACTTCAGGTTAATCATTCTAAACGCATCAGCTGTGTTTTAAATGACTATTTTTTCTCCTACCTGTCCAGATATCCAATTGATTTAGAGAAATCCAGCTACTTTCCCACTGAAACAGGCTGGTGATCAAAGAAGACTGTGCCATTGAAAATCATGTGTGATACCAACTGATAAGGAGGAAGAACCGTTAGGGTGGTGGGTCTTTAGCATCTGCAACAAGACAGTGTGAAGGGTCCACAACAGAGTTTGACATTAAAAGCATGTACATAATATATGTGTAATGGTTAACCTAAAAGCACGACACAGATATACAAGCACAGTTCGATTTAATTAATAGATAGGCAGGCACGGTCAGAACAGGCAGATATGGAATAGTAACAAGGGTAATGCTGGAGATCTTGGCAGTGACACACAAGACAATCTGGAAGCTATCAAGTGCAAGTGAACGGGCCTAAATAGTGAGGGACTAATGAGGGAATGGGCTGCAGGTGAGATGGGCGTGGAAGACCAGGTGAGGGGAATGAGGGATGACATGGTGAGAGGACCTGAAATGACAGGAGAGTTAGAAAAACAGGCAGACAGGATGAAAACAATCTAAGATGAAGTGGAATTTGTGTACGTAATTAGTTGGTTTTGTATAGAAGGCCTATTTTTCCCAGCCGTAACAACATGTGGTTGATATTGTTTTCCCCAAGTGAGTCTGTGTGTGTCATCAGATGGTTTCTATCTTCAAATACTTTTTTTATTTTTAATAATGATTTATACAAATTAAAAAAATGATTTAAAAATAGGATCAGTGTGGCATACTAAAATAATGTTGATCCAACACTGAAAACCAAGTTATTTAAATTCAAAGTGTAATTCCTTCAACATCAATTCAGCTTCAAGCAGTGTGGATTTAGCAAAGTTGGGGCATTAAGCATTGTCGTTGTGGAGGTCAGCACAGTTGGCATTCAGCTGTAGGTGTGGGGATGACTCGTGAGGATAGTGCTAGGTGAGTTGTTTGACAGATGGTGCTTGTTGAGCAACCGCATTGTTCTTTAAATGTAGTTGCGATCAGGAGGTGACAACAAAATACTTCAGGGGGAGAGCTGCTTGCCAAAACCAGGAAGGTTCTAAAGGAGATAAAATACATTATGAACAAACAAAAGACAATGAATTGAAAAACCATAGTGATCATAACGACAGATGTCTGGCTTGACTAAGTAGATTATTCAGTCTTTTACAGCCACTTGCTAGAGGCATGCCTCTCGTGATGGCTTGTCGCTCCACCACTTTAGTCCAGAGTGAAGTATCTCAACAACTATTGAAAGGCTTTCCATACAGTTTTGTACAGACAGCCATGATTCTGAAGAATGATTCCCACTGACTTTGTTGATCTCCTCACTCGTCAGTCGTCAGTGTACAGTACAGCATGTATAAAAATGCCAGCGCTCGAGTTAAAATGAAACAGTATGAATTGCTTGAAATTTACGGTGGAATTTCAATGGTATCTTACAGTATTTCATAATAACTGTAACATACAGTTAAATGTCCGTCCCTCGCATTTGTCCCTCGTTATTTGTGCTTGTTTTATCACACTTCCTTTTTTAATCAGAGTGGTGGATGTTTGTGGCAATTTATCATGTTGTACTTTTTAGATGTAACTTGTATCGCTTAACTTTGAACATTGTGTGCATGCAGACATTGAAAAGCAAAACTCGCCATCAAACCAATGTATCTTATGTCTGTGTTATGCATCCTATGTCTGTAATATGCTGTAACCGCAACCTGATGGTTCTGGGAGCTCACAAACTAGCTCTAAGTTGTTCAGTCTGCACCAGGTCCCATGGTCAATCTCCCACCTGTAGGCAGATTCATCTGTAGGCATGGGGTCTGGACTGTCCCATTGTCTTTCAACGCAACAGTAAAACTCGTTCAGCTCGTTTGTCTGGCGGTCTATCATGGAGTTGCGGGCTTGCAGTTTGTTATCTGAGATCACTCCACACAGAAGGCAAGGCAAGTTTATTTGTATAGCACATTTAAACTAATTCAAAGTGCAGAAGCAGAATAACTTGCTGAGTGACCCCCCCAGTGTTGCAGTTTCTTAGAGTACTGCTGTTTAGCATCTCTCACAGCCTTGCTAAACCTGTAAATTGACCCTTCAAACATGTCCTCGGCCCACTCCTACATGCCTGTTCCTTTTGTAACCTTAGCTGTCTGAGCTTAGCTGTGAAGCAGGGTTTGTCATTGTTAAAACTCACCCTGGTCACAGCCACTGTGTACTCGTCCAAACAATTGGGAAAGCAATGTATTATGATATAACCATCATTTCTGGGGGACAGGGTTTCACTGTCATTTTTGAAGAAAATCTGTTATTGTTTTGTACTTCAAAAAAAACGTTTGTCAGAAATTGCAGTTTGAAGGACGCATCTTCAGTTTCTACAATAAACCAATGGAGAACTTGTTTCAGATGTTCCCACACAGTCTTAATTTGACACAATCCAGCCCTGACCGTTGCAGAACTTGTGGGGGGGGAATTCTGGTAATTTGAATTAAGGACCTTTCATAGATTTTCATGATATTGTTCTAAGGTACAGTGAATCATCAGCTCCAGTCTTCAGTGAAATGCAGTTTGAATGCTGATATTGAAAATATGGGCGAAATCCGCTTACACCAGAGGTTTTTTTTTATGTAGATGTACAAAAGTTATATTCTCTGCACATTTAGAATCAACCGTGGCCGCACCAAAGGCTATGAAAAAGGTGTTCTGACAGTTTGAGTGTGTGACTTTGTCATGATTTATTTCATTTCGGATGTGTCTTAATTTTTCAAAAGTGTGCTGAACATCGGCTGAACTTGGCTGAGAGCGGTAGGTTTTATGTCACTCCTGAGGAGGACATACTCTACTTTGGAGGAGGAGGAGGGTGAAAGCAGGGCTCAAAAGAGACAGGTGAAACTAGTCAGGGCAGGTCAGACAACTAAAAATGGTTGTAACGCACACAAAGGCTTTAGTATTTAAAATAAATTAGAAAGAACATGGAGCAGGACTGATTGCAAGACAGTACACGTGTATTCATGTTGTATGTAAATGTATCCATTTCCCTTTGAATAACAATTTTTGTCCGAAGATGATTTTTCCTTAAAAGTGCAGTCGTACCTCATTAAAAATACTCTGGAATCTACAGAATGAACATTTAATTAGTTTCACATCAAAAGTTCTTCTCTCATGTGTGTCAGGTCAAGCAGCCACGTCGCTTGATTTTCAGTTGAATGCTGGACCATGACTGGTTTCCAGACTAGTTGTTGATGTGATGTCATCAAGTCACATCTTAAACTTAAGGTGAGAACTGAGACATTTCCCCTCTGCAGCCGATTCATTTGAAAACAGTGAAGGTTAAACATTCAAGTAAAACATTTTTTTTCTCCCCGGAGGAATTCAGGATTACAAGTGGATCCCTTTGCAGTTTAAGTAAATGGGGACGATATTGTTGATTGTCAGTCTTCAACCAGACTTTTAGTTTGACATGTTACACGTATTCGTATTGAACCGTCCGGTACGAGGCTCACGGTTCGGTACGCATTACGAACTGAACAATACATTGCATTTGGAAAATGCAGAATCATTCGATTGTGGGAAATATAATACGCTCAACAAGGCAAACCAACCAACGTAACAGGCAACGTGCTGTCTGACACTCCCACCAAATGAATCCATCATTGTTCAAAGTAAAAAAAGAACACTTTATGATGGCATTTCTGCTGTATTGAACCATGGCACCACTGTATCGTATCGAACCGTACCGAGAATTTTGTGACCCGTTACACCCCTAGTGACTGGTTGTTGTGAGTTTGTTCTTGTCATTGTGTTAATTACATTGACTTTGACTATATGCATTGCCCGTTAATGACGAAGCATTGCGTCATGCTGGCGTCATAATGAGGTTATTAAGAGGGGGCTCAACTGTAGTAGGACAGCTTTGAAGGCCCAGGTATAAAACACACAGCCTGCCACTGTGTTACACGTTTGGCACGCTGGGGGGGAAGTTTCAGTTGGTTGCAATCTGCAACCTCACCGTCAAATCCACCGCCACCCCCAATCACCTACGCACACACACCCGCACACACTTACATTTATTTCATACACACGGTTTGTTAAGCACGGCCTCCATTACGTGTCGCATTCACCCTTTAAATAATCACGGCCACGCCTCTACTTTTTCTAATCACACACGCACACACATTCCTCATTAAAACTAATAAGTATATACTTGCTAGTAACCAAACCCACTCATCCAGTATTTTTGTAATTTGACACAGGACCAATGACGATGTGTATGGCTGCCAGTGTTTGTTTTGTATCCAAGGAACAATGAGGAGATGGGGGACTTAACCTTGGCGATGACATCACCCTGTGTAGTTTTTAGTGTTGTAACATGTCACTCTCTTCCACGAGGAGTCTGTGTCCCGTTTGCTGTGTTTCAGGATGTTGATATGCAGCAGACGAGCCACACCTGATCCTGGCGTGGTAACTGACATAAAGACTCCTCTTCTTTGACTGAAACGGCTGCTTATTTGTTTGTTTAGTTTTTGTATTTCTGAAATGAACGTGTATTTATTACTTTTACTCTTGTCTTGTCTCCCTTTATGTTGCAGCCTTTGAGCCGGGTTGTAACATATGGGGGGCTTGTCGGGGATGGCAGTG